TTACGGATTCTGATTGGGCAGCAGATCGAGAGATAAGACAAAGCGCTTCATATGGAGCGATCATACTGAACGGAATTTTGATTTATTTCTAAAGCAAGAGACAAAAGAGCATTGCATAGAGTTCATATGAAGCTGAAATAATTGCAGCGACTTCGATATTATCGGAAATAGTATTCTTGAAAGGATTATTGGAGAGGATTCCAGGTATAGAATCTAAAATTGGGCTCAATCTATTCTGGATATAGCAGATCCCGAAGCTCATTATAAAAGCGATAAAGGGCAAAGACAATCCCTCGGACCTAGGGATAAAATTCTTAATTCGCGACAAAATGAAGAAATGCATGGTCATATTAGGCTATATAGGCGAATATCTTGATGAAGATTCCCAAAAGATTCAATAAGAGACGGCGAGAAGACGAAGAAGGCGCGAGAAGATGAATTTCGATAAGAGGATGATCGTAAGGATTATCCAAGCAGTTACTATTGGAGTATTGATGAATTTGTCTGAGGCGAGCAAAGAAGGGATGAAAGAAGAAGTCGGATAAGATATATAAGAATATGATGATTATATTCATCTTGTCTATGTGCGCAGCCGTAGTCCAATCAAGCTTCCGGAGGAGAGCTGAAAAGGAAGGAGAGAAAAAGGAAAAGAAAAAGAGAAGAAAAAAGAAGAAGGGATGACCGAAGATTCAACGATCAAAGAACTGATTGCGGAGGTCGTGAAAAGCATAAGCGGGATACGCTATCTTTCGAATCAATTGAATACGTCGAAAAAAGGAAGATCTTCGAAAGAAGAGAAGGAGATAGGAATAAGAAGATTGAATTTGGATCGGGAAGATAAGTCGACTCCAAGTTCATCTCAAGAAGCAGCGTCGGATCCGGGAAGCAGCAATGGATCAAGCAGCGACAAGGAAAAAGATGACGAAAAGAAAAAGAAGGAATAAGAAAAAGCGAAGAAGAAGAAGTCCGAAGAGCCAGGTGAGTTCAAAGATACTATCGGGGAATTCAAGGAATTCTACAATCAAAAAGAGATAATAGAAAGAAGGAAGGCAGAACTAAGCGAGCTCAAAGATAGTGCTTCTGAACGGCGCCAGAAAATAGTGCGAAGGACTAATGAAGAAGTTGAAGAAGTAGAGAAAGATAAGGAGCCAACAGAGAAGATTGAAAAAGCAGAAGAAGACAAGGAGCCAGCAGAGAAGATCGAAGAAGCAGAAGAAATTGAGGATCCAGCAAAGACAACCGACGACGAAATAGAGGATGAAGAAACGGCAGCTCAGATGGCCAAATTGGATACGACGTTCGATATAGATAGTGGTATTATCTGACCGACGATAATCGATGAGGAAGATGTAAAGGCTATCGAGCAAGGTTTGTCAACTGCAGCGTTGTTGTTGAGTCGAGAATTTGATTTGCTGAGAGAGACGATAATGAGACCAATTAGTGTTCTACCTGATTGGAATGGTCTGAAAATTCAGGAAATGAAGACTAAGTTGGAAGAACGGATGATTGAGCATATGAAAAATTTGTGAATATTCTATGATGCTGAAATTGAAGCAGAGAAGAAGATGGAAGAAATATAAGAAGAATATAAAGAATTTGAAGAAGAGCTGAAAAAGGAATTCGAGAAAAAATCCGAAGAAAAGAAGAAGCAACTTCAAGAAGTGCGTGAAGATTACGAAAGCATAAAGGAAAGTACGGACGCAGTCCAGTTCTCAAAGGTAATATATATCTCGAGAAAATCATGAATATGCTATAGAATATAGAGATATGCCTAAAAGAATTGACGAAGATTTTCCAATTTTCAAGAGATTTTATAGCGACCTGATAAAGATTAGGAGAAGAAAAGGAGAATTTTGCCAGAGACTATGATAAGAGTTAAAAGGCAAAATGAAGATACGGCAAACTCAAACGCGATTGGAACGAATAGTGATAATAGTCAGATCATAAGGGATAAAATCGCAAAATCGACGCCGAGGCAGATGCTGGAAGATATAAGAATCAAGCAGGAGAAGAAGGAAGAATTGAAGAGAAAGCTTGAAGAGGCAAGAGAAGAGATTAGCAAATAAAAGAAAAAGAGAAGATCGATAAATAAATCGATATTAGAAAGTAAAGACCTTCAGAGCTTGAGGGAGAGCCAAGAAGATAAAAGGAAAGAGATTATGATGAAAATTTGGAAGATGAGAACGCAAAGTGGATTATGAGATAGTCCGACCGAGTTTATTTTGATATAAAGACCAAGGTCACCGTGAAGAATCATGCACCAAGATATGGAGGAAAGTAAGAGAGCTCCAGGCGATGGAACCGACCGAAATGATATCAAAGAAATATTTTCTGCCAGTGGTATTTCTATAACGAGCTTCAGAAGAAGATCCAGCTGGATATGGATTGGGGAGACCATAGTCCGGATATCTGTTGACATCGATCTGAGAAATATAAAGAGATGAAAGATCTAATGGACGAAAGAGAAAGGTTGGCGTAAGGGATTAAAGCGGATCCAAGTTGGAGCGAAGAGACCTGAAGAAGAAGGATAAAAAGGAAGAGAAAAAGGATGAAAAGAAGAAAGATGAAAAGAATAAGGATGACGATAAAAAAGACGAGAAGCAAGATGATGATAAGAAGAAGAAAGAGAAGGTCGAAAAGGTCAAGGGAAATTCGACGGATAAGAAAAAAGAGAAAAAGCGAAAGGCGAAGAGCAGCGATTCTTCGGAGATTCTGAAAAAGATAAAGAAGACGAGGGACGAAGATGAGCTCGAAAGATGAGAACGAATAAAATTATCCAAAGAAAGAAATTCCGATTCCAGGAGTATAAAGACGGAAGAAGAAAGAATTTCTGATTCCAGGAATATAAAGACGAGAGATGGAAAGGAAAACTCTTTCTCCAAGAGAATAAAGAAAGGAGAATGAGGGCGAAAATACAATAAAATTTCTTTTGGAAGCCTCATATCGCTAAGGAAGAGCTTATGAGAAAGATGAGGCCACTAGTCAGAGAACAGAAATTTTGATTTATAAAGATATGGGATAAAGATGATATTGAAAAGGTTTGGTAAGGGACCGCGAATGTAAAATCAAATCGCAAAGACTTTGAGACTACGATATGAATTAAGACGAGCATAACGAAATTGGAAAGAAGACCCAAAACGTATAGTAGATTCTGAGACCCAAAAGTTCTTTTATATAGCTCAGACTACACCGACTATCGCGATTTCAGTCCGCGGAAGCAAAATAGTGAGTCCAGCCTATATTAATTTCAGACAGGACTATAGATTCTGAAGCAAAAGTATTTTCATATAACGATTTTTCAGGATATAAAAATCTATCATCCATACTAAGAAGAAGAAAGGAAATGTAATTAAGAAATTATGCGAAGGAATATGCGAAAAGAGGAAATATTCAAAGAAATATATAATAAAGAAGAAATGAAAGAAAGAAGAATATTCGAAAATCGAATCAAATTAAATAATAGCACCTAAAGCGATAAATAAATCAAATATAATATAATTCATTATCAATTCTCCATAAATCGTAGCACGGCTCAAGATTCACGAATCAACGAGAAAATGAGCGAATCCCGTATCATATATCCAAAGAAATAAGAAATAAGAATAGAGAGTGTAAGACATTACGGGCCTCATATTTTACGAGTAAAACCAGGTTTTTCGTGGATTTTTTTTAGCTGAAAAGTAATTACTAAGATATACAATATCAACATAGCGAACTCTTCCATAGAATACAGCTGTTATCAGAAGGCAACACGACTAGCAATCGAACATACCCGTAATCTCCGAAAATAATGCTGCCGACACCCTCATCCGAGCTGAGGCTGTGACCTCAGTATGTATCAGCTCGAGGCTAGTCTTTCAGCATGTATCCTGTATTTGCAATCCGGACTCAAAGCACACATGCATGTTTCCTGCAATCGGTCAGGTGTTGCAGCTCTAACAGCAGAGTCATCAAGGTGACTTTGCCGTTTGAAACACATGTGCGTGACCTAATTACGAATTTGATGGCGAATACCATCTGCGTATCACACTTCGTCCTTCTGTATGATGTCCAGGAAACGATAGGACAAATCATGTAGCATGACATTGTTGAAATAAGAGAATGTAAGAACATGTGATATGCCGAAGTGTACGTGCACAAACTTGATACATTTGCGCAGTGTTCTGTGGTGAGTGGGCACTGTCATACACGCGGATAGCAACGACGCGACATCCAAACCCGATTGGACAGGTTGGCAAACCTCTAACGCTGTCCTATCACTTCTTGACGATGCGCTTCATCATCTTGGTGGCAGGGGTCTTCTTGACGTGGCGCTTGATCGGGATCTTCTTGTCCGCGAAGGCGCTTTTGGAAGTCGCAGAAGACGCTCGTGGGGATGATGCTGGGCGTCTGTATGTGTACTTCTTGCAAGCTGGGCGCTTAAGCAAGCCGCTTGTCATAGCAGCTTGCTTCCTGGCGGAGAAGGGGTTCAAATGATTGAGGTAGCCTTGACGAGTCAAGTCGTTGTGCCTCTGCACATACAGCAAGACGTAGAACGCGTGAGAGCGTGGCGACTTTGTGTTGAACTACGAGGCATAACCGCGAAACCAAGCAAAGGTTTGCTCGGCAATGGAGGTGTTGATGCCCTCCAGGCGGTTATTCAAGGTCTTGTGCTGCAGGGGAGAGCAGGGACAGCCAGGAGCATGGCCTTTGGCGTGAAAGCGATCAACGCACCAATGCTTAATCTGTTTGGTGCATGCGACTTTCCGGCCTTGCTGAACGTATCTATAGGCTCTATCATAGACGACGCAGTCCAGTTGTGATGACCTCATCGCCACGAGATGAAGGACATCCAGGGCCACCTGATTATTCTCCGGTTGCTGCATTTCTTGCACTGCAGCTATGAGCCCTGTGCGAGGATCTATGGCCATGAACTAGCCGTTATTACGAAGCTTCTCCTTGCCGTCTTTCCGGGGTCTTCCGGCATGCGGTGGAGGCGCACCGGAGCATTTCGTGGCCACTTTCTCATGGCCATCAAGAACAATCTCCCGGATGGACATGTGCTCGGTGCGCGTCAGCTGATGCTTGTGCCACCGCGTAGTGTAATCCGCCATGAATGCGTCGGTGAGTGGATTGTCCAGGTCGATGGCGGCGAGCTTGTCCTTGGCGTTTGTTGATCGGGCCCACATTTTCTCAGCTTCGCGGATCATGTAGTAGTATAAGCTGGCGATACTGTACGCTTGATTCCAGCTCGCATGCTCGTTCTCATCTTGCCATAAGACCTCTTGTTGTGCCCATGCAATGGCATTGTTGCTGACACAGCCGCGAAACTGGAGTGCATCATGGTACTCCAGGAACTCCTTTGCGAAGGCGGTGTTGCTGTTGACAAAGATGACGTCCATCTGATCATGTTGCATTGTGTTAAGCTTCTTGCCACCCTGTTTCCTGTAGTTGTACAAATGTCGTATGCGACAAGACTTCGACGTGCAGCGCATGGGGATGTGCTCAACTTCCTGTACACCCCGCAAGGTGTACAGTCTGGCTGCCATAACGTCGGCAGACGCTAAGGTAGACTGACACTTCACACAGTGTTGCAAGGGCGTTCGGAAGGAAACGCGGAAATCATCATGAACACCCGTCGCAGTACCCTCATGCATGTAGGCACGATTGTTGTCCATGGGAATGCTGTGGGGAATATTCCGAAGTTGAAACCATGTCAACCCAGAAAGTTGACAGCACAAGGATGCCAGGCCATCTGCAGCAATGGACAGTCTACGTGCACCTGCAGTGCTGTCAACAAGCCGAACCTCACCGGATTCCTCGAAAACCACAGCAAACCAATGTCCAGTGCCATCAGACATTTGCTGGTGACAAAGCCACTTCTCCTTCGAGCAGACATGAGTGAGGACGTCAGTCATAGGCTCCAAGATCATGTGGACGGATTCCGAGCTTGGCTGTTGCGAAGCGAAACATATGATCTCGTTGAACTCCTTGGCGGAAAGCGGCCTTCATGATCAGCGAAGTATTGTAAATCAATACTAGGCTCTACGTTGGCGATGCCATTAAGTAGACAGTTCTGGAATGATGTGATCACATTGCCGTCCAAAACAACACTCAGCATGTCCCGCCGAAGAGCCAGACGGGCTAGTGTCATCGAATGTGTCGATGTGGGCCAGGACTTCACAGACATTGGAATAATGGATTGGGCGCATCGTCGACACGATTCTGACACCAAAATCTCATGTTCCAAACTGGTGCAATGGATGATAGCCCCATCGAAGAGCAACACGCAGGACTGGTTCCCGATGACATCACGGGCTTCCTTCAACAATTCATTCTCCTCGAAGGACAACAAAGCCGAAAGTCGACTGAACTCGGGATTGCGACGATCGGAGTATAAGTCTCGCCATGCTGCTGCCTCTGGATGACGCAATAGACAAGAAGCTGCTTTTTGAACCTCATCAGCAAGTTTGAGGATCCAGGGAGCTTCGAAGGAGGGCTTGCCGCCATAGAAAATGCGGATGAGCTCCATCTTTGCATCAGCGACAGGAATATCCACGTACTTAGCGGTCGCCTCCCGCCATGACGCATAGTGCTCCACAAATAGGTTGAGCATGGGGAACCTAGTCTCGTCCCAAAGTTCGAACATCTGGAGCTTTCGCACAAGAAGGCGGGGATAACAACATGCTGCGTCCACTTCTGCCGAGTCGAGGTCGAATGCCACTGTCCGAGCCTCCTTCGTGAGCTTCTGACCTGAAGGTCCACGAGATAGTAGGCGACCATAATGTGGAAGCTTATAGTACTCGACCTGTAGGAGCGAGGAGCTACCCATCTTGGTTCCCATTGCACGATGGCGCTGGAGGTAGTGACATAGAAGGTCCTGACGGCGATCTGTCTCATGGGCCGCATAGTCCTCGAGGGCGTTGAGATTGATCGTCTCTAACAGGCGACACTCGATAGGCCGCACCAAAGTTGCTTCCGTGGTTTGTGTGCGATGTCGCAACATAGTCTGACAGTGATTTTCAAACGCATTGCCGTCCCATTTCTCCTGCTCATGTAGAAGCTGAAAGGGACAGGTCCAGTCAGCCCACGTCCCAATCACTGCAGAGCCACCATGCTGTTCCATCGCATCGACAAGCCGCTGCCAGTCAATCAGTAGCTTGTGAAAGCACGATGAGTCGACCTGATTGAACAAACGACTGTTAGCAAGGTCTAAGGCCTCGACGAAGTTGGACAATTTCGGCTTCTTCCCTTTGGACGATGCGGCACATCCAGGTAGGACCTCGACCTTATGAATGAGATACTCCTTGAATATTCGTCTTTGCGGGGTGTTGGCATGCACCTTCTGGACAAGAGTCTCCGCCTCTATGATAACGTCAACTACAGTGCCTGGGGGAGGGGTTGTTGCACCTGACAACGACGAGGACAACCAGTTTGTGTCGCGGACTATGTCTTCATGAATGCTGCCAGGGTCGTTGATCATATTCATGATATCCTGCTCACTGTTTTCCCTGAAGAAAGGAATGCAATATTCGCGAAGGTAGATTGCCGCAGTGATAGGATTCGACAGGATTCGACAGGAAATTGGTGAGCTCATCCTGTGGAATTAACTTATAGATCCCGCGGGAATGGTTTACCTGGCTGTTGTCCATGGTGAAGGTAACCTTGCCCATGAGAAAGCAAATCACAGGTCGTGTAAGTTGCTCCAAGCTCTTGGTGCGGTCATTGCTCTCTTCGATTATGGGAATATTTTCGAAGTTGAGCTCTTGAATCTTCATCGCGGAGCCGAATCGTCGCTTGCTCGTGAATCCGAAATTGACCCTGCAGTCGATTTCTTCATCGACTACAAACCGTTTCCAAACATCTGCCACAAACCGCCCACGACTCTCCATCTCCTGGATGCGTATGCTGGCTTTGTTCCATGCAAGTTCAGCTGACTTCCTGAACTCCACCCTGTCAAGGAACATACCGCAGTCTAAAGTAGCAGTGGCCAGGTCACCAAAGAGTGCTCGATCCAAGACCGCCTCCATCCCTTTACCGTCGCCGCCTTTACCCACCTGAAAGATTATCTGTCCAGTGCATTTCTTTGCGAAGGCTGCTTGCATGAAACACAGCTTCAACTAGAAGAGATGTGGGCTACCGAAGTAGAGCGATTCCAGAAACGTTTTCAGTCGCGTACGGACTTCTGCAATACTGATGTTCTGGTGGTCAGCCATCTTGTTCTCCCAAAAGAAATGGTAGTCAAGCTTCAAGTAGCAATTGGCCTCTGCAGACTTGTTTGCGACGTTCCAATTCTTATCCAAGCACACGTCCCGGAAGCAAACTCCATTCGACACTGGCATTGTAGTATCCCATTCTGTCAGGAAGAGTTTGGTGAGCCCCTTCGTTGTATTCTCAGATTCCAATGCCTTGCGAAACTGTGCTAGCATATCGGCGACGCGTCGTGTCCACCGAGCCTGCCATACTTTGTTCCCCGTTTTGACACGCACATGGTCGCTGTTGCTTTTGGCGACCTCAGTCAAGACTTGCATCACATTCAGATCAGTCTCGACCATGTCTCCGACAATATCCATCAAGTAAATCTTCATATCATGCCAAGTCCAGGACACCTGCAACTCCTGATCGTCCAAAGAAGTGGGCAGCTGGACGAAGAGGCCTTCCAAGGCCAAGAGTAGATCCCATCCACGAACTGTAAAGGAGGGTACCATGACCCATGCTCCATCTTCATAATGGAAGACTTGACGCTGATGTGCCCGCCATTGTTCACCTTCCAATAACAAGCACATAGTGAGCTTTTGGATGTTGCTCATCATGTAATTGGAGCAATTCATAGTACAAACGAACTTGGCAATGACCATGAGTCGGCATACTCCATCACCAAGTCCACCGAAGAGTTCTACACTCTCGATGTTCATCTCCTGGATTTTTTCAACGAGAGAGCGGGGCTTGACATCAGGCACAAGTGGCGGAACCGGTCCCGGACAACTTGCAGTCTGTATCTCCGAGAAGGCTTGGAACCTGGACAACGTATATGAAGGGAAGCTCATGATACAGTAGTATGTAAATATGTATCATGGCTTCAAATGCCTGAATATGTCATACGATCTCTAAGCTGCTCACAAATTGGCTCCACGTAGGCGTTTCGCTGCCGGTGGAGCGGGAGACGATGGTGATACTGTGGCCTTCGCTGCGTCCACCTTGATATCTACTTCGGTGTTGTTCTCCTGGGGTAATGATGCCGCTGCTCCGTTAGCCGACGATGCTGCTGGTTCTACAGGGGGACTCACTGGAGCGGCAACATCCGGAGCCCGTGCGATCTCATCGATGGACACTGCAGGGGTAAGACTTGTCTGATCGTTCATAAGATTTTCCAAGTCCACCTCAAGGGAATCAGGACCTCCAGCAGCGCAGTCCATGGCACAGGGAGCAGGGTCAGGCTGAGTTCAACGCTCGGGAGAACGGGAACACTCTCAACAGAAACGTTGCGAGAAATCTGACATCCAGCTATGAGTTGACATGGGCATCCACAACAACACACCGTTTCCCTTGCTTGGGGACACGGCGGATGTTCTTCGTGCAGTTGAACCACCGCTGCTCCTCGAAGCATGCACCTTAGCAGCACCAGCATGTGGGCTAGCAGCATCAGCATATAGGTGCGATATTTTTGAAGCATGGTCCCGTATCAGGAGTACACGTCAAATCTAGAACGGGTTAGCATGGACTTGAATAGGAATGATATCCACAAATCGAGCATTCGTGTGGCGAATGGTGTCCACGCAGTTTGTACATCTGAGGCTGTGGGTATCAAGGTTCGGATCATGACCCTGTATAAGGCTTCCCTTTCAAATGTAGAACGGACTAGCATGTCCTGCGGCAAGGATGACACACACAAATCCACGATGTTTACACGGATAGAAGCGCGAGTAGCTTATGCAATGGCCCTGCACCAGAAGTACACGCTACATCTAGAACGGATTAGCATGGACTTCAATAGGCACGACACTCACAAATCGAGCATTCGTTTGTTGAGGGGCTTCCATGCAGCTTCTACATTTTAGGCTGTGGGTCCTGCGACGAGGATGACACCCACAAATCCATGATATTTTTGCACGGATATGGGCGCCCGCAGCCTGTATCTGCAAGAAAGAAGTCTTGAACAGGTTATCCTGTTCTACAAGAGCAAGGATATGGGATCGAGGGAGAAGGGGACAAGAGGACGAAGGGATCAGGGGACAAGGGGACAGAAGGACAGGGGGACAGAGGGACCGCGGACGCGGGACAGGGGGATAGGGGGATAGGGGGACAGGGGGACAGGGGGACAGGGGGACAAGGGAGATAGGGGGACAGGGGGACAGGGGGACAGGGGGACAGGGGGACAGGGGGACAGGGGGCAGGAGTGTGCGCGTATCGGGGTGGGTGTGCGCGTATCCGGGTGGGTATGTGGTTATGTGTATGTAGGTGTGTTCAAATCTTTGTATGTGTGTGTGAGTATGTGTGCGCGTGTGTGTGTATGTGTGTGTATGGGTGTGTGGGTGTGGGTGTGTATGTGTGTGTGTGAGTGGGTGTACGTGTGTATTTGTATTGGAATTCGCATGGGTGTGTTTATGTACACATGTACGCGTTTGCGGGTGTGTGTGTGTGTGTGTGTGTGTGTATGTGTGCGGGTGTGCGTGTACGTGTGTGTGTGTGTGTGCATATGTTGACATAGTGTGTGTATGTACAACAGGTACGACATGTTGCACATTGAGTCTCCCTGCACAAAGCTTATGAAAGCATTTTTGAGCGTCCGCGCCACAGCTCCGATCACCACTTTAGTTACAGCCGTCGTTGCGCATGGAGCACAAAGCCTCGCCGGGATAGTACTCTGCTTCATCTCGAGGAGATGCATAGCTCTGCTCACGTTTATTGCGCGGCTTCCACCAACTTCGGTTGTAGAAGCTCTGGTGCTGCATAACCTCTTGACGGTGCTTGGCCTCTCTTTCCGTAGCCTTCTATTTATCACGTTCTTGTTGAAGTGTCAACCTCTTCACTTTCAATGCTTCCAACTGAACTTGGAGAGCAAGCTTCGCGTCATCGTCAACACCCCTGGCCGTCTTCTGGGTCATCTCTGCTCTTGCTTTGGCTTTCTCTAGCTCGCGCTTTTGAGGCTCAGCATCTGTCTTGATAGTGGTAGAAGTCTTGCAAGTGCAGCGGTTACCGCCCCATTTGGAGCATCCCGGACACTTCTTCTGAGCCATGGTCGTATCTTGATCTATGTCTTTGGGTTACTGTGGCTTGCAACGGCTTCGCTAGGAGATTGCGGACGATAGTAATCGGAATAGGAATAGCAATACAACGCAAACAAGAATAAGATAGTAGATAAACCAATGCAGCTCAAGCCCGTCTGCAGTGCTGAGGCCAACACCTGATGCGGACATAGAAGTAGCATCATATTAAATAATATATTCTATATAATTAAGTATGTATGCAGGAATCGTGCCTCGAAGTATTCGTTTATCATATTGCCATACATCGACTCGAGAGTTATATGTATATGACCCCATATATCGACACTCCAAGGAACAATAAGAAAAACGTAAAGTAAAAAATGAAAACTCACATGCCGGTCAACTTAATCATAGCTGCGCAATATTCTTTACGTGGGTTAACTGACTAAATGAACAAACACATAGAGGGCGAGGTACAGCCAGCGAGGGGGGGAGAGGGGGGGGGGGGCGCCAAAAAAAAAAAACACAAAAAAGATTGGGGGGGGGGGGGGCCAGCGCCCCAAAAAAAAAAAAAAAAATCTAAAATCTATTGTTTTTTTGCGCTGCCCCCCCCCCCCCCGCCAGAATTAATTTTTTTTTTGTGGCTGCCACCCCCCCCCCCCCCGCGGGGACAGCCTGCTCGGCCCTTGCGCATAACAGAAGTCTTAAAAGAAGACATTGCGTATATATAACAAAGCAGCTGTGACGGTAAGGACAAGTGAGAGATCAGTTTACGAAATGTTGCGATATCCCAAAAGGATGAAATACAAACCGAATTATTCTAAATATGTTTGGACTACCAACAAGGAGTGTCGAAAATATGGGGCCCGTAATGTCATATTTTCTGTAAGAATAAATAAATTATTCGGAGATTTGAGAGCGCTCAAGAAATATTTAATCAAAATTCATGATTCCTATATTTCATTCTCTTCTTATAATATACGAAATCTTGAGTCGTATCTATTTAAATTCTTTTCTTTGTAGGCTTGCTTAGAAGGATACCAAATATTCTTCCATCAATCCTTCCTTAAATTCATATGTATTCAAAAATTTTTTGTTATCTCTAAATTCCGAGCTTAAAATCTTCGAAGATTATATAAAATAGAAATCATCTTTTGAATATATAAACTACTCAAAAATCTTTATAAATTTTCTTTCCCCAAACAGGTACGTTTGGGGTTCTCTCCTCAGGAAAAAAGGTGGGCCGCGGTGGGTTGGATGGCTGGGCCGCGGCAAACTGGCTGGGCTCCCATTGGGCTCCCTTCATATTTCCTTTCTGGGCTCCTGGGTTGGACGGGTGGGACGCGGCGAAGGACCTGGGCTCCCCTTCCATTCCCTTCATGCTTCCTTTCTGGGCTCCTGGGTTGGACGGGTGGGCCGCGGCGAAGGACCTGGGCTCCCATTCACTTTTTCTGGGCTCCTGGGTTGGACGGGTGGGCCGTGGCAAAGGACCTGGGCGGCTTTATTGGGCTCCCTTCATGTTTCCTTTCTGGGCTCCTGGGTTGGATGGGTGGGCCGCGGCGAAGGATCTGGGCTCCCATTCACTTCATTTCATATTTCCTTTCTGGGTCTTGGGTTGGACGGGTGGGCTGGGGGAAAGGACCTGGGCTCCCATTGGGCTCCCTTCATATTTCCTTTCTGGGCTGCTGGGTTGGACCTGGACTCCCGATGGGCTCCCTTCATATTGGGCCGCGGCAATCCCGTTTACCTCCCTTCATATTTCCGTTCTGGACTTCTGGATTGGATGGGTGGGTCGCGGCAAAGGGATTGGGCTGCCAATTAGGCTTCCTTCCTATTTCCTTTCTGGGCTGCTGGGTTGGACGGGCGGGCCGCAGCAGAGGGCCTGAGTTCCCGCTGGGTTCCCTTAATATTTCCTTTCTGGGCGCCTGGTCTGCCACAAACGTGTACAGCAGAGGCCAGGTATCCGGTATCCTGTCTTGCAAGGCAGCAATGCTGTAACAGTTGCGTATTTTTCCGTGCGTGGTTTCTGCTGCAGCAAGATCCTGTGAACGACGTTCTTCGTTCGGTTTGCGGAAAAATTGTCAATGGTTCCGTATAAGGAAAATATTTATTTGCGATGTAAGCCGATTCCTTCGCTTTTCTTTTTGCCCTGTTTGTGCGGCAAAGTTGCCCGTCTTTCCCGTGCGACAGCCGACCGATCCATATACTAATCTCTTTTGTGCTTCTTCCACGAACGTCTACAGCAGAGGCAAGGTATCCTGTCTTGCAAAACGGCAAGGTTATGATACTTGCGGGAAAATTGTCGCAAGATCCTCTGGACGACGCTCTTCGTTCGGTCTGCGGCAAAATCGTCAATGGTTCCGTGTAAAGGGGAACTTGTGTGTTTCTCCGTGCGTGGTTTCTGCGGCAGCAAGATCCTGTGGACGACGCTCTTCGCTTTGTCTGCGGAAAAATCGTCAATGGTTCCGTGCAAAAGAAGATTTTCATTCGCCTTAGAAGCCGACAAACCTCTTGGCACTTTTTTGCCAAGTTTGCACGGCAAAGTTCCCAATTTGCTCCGTCCGACGGGCGACCGATCCGTATACCAACCTGCTTCGTGCTTCTTCCGCAATCATCTACAGCAAAAGTCAGGTATCCTGTTTTGCAAAGCAGCAATGTTGTAACAGTTAGTTGGTCGAATACGACGTTCCCTGTCTTTGTATGG